TTTTTTTTTTTTATCAATTCATGTATATTGTGTATTTACCGTATGTACATAGTATAACACAAATGAATGATGAAGTTATAGTTGATATACTATACACTATTCACTATTGTTTATAAAAATCATATTTTATTATTTAATGTATCCATTTATTTCAATCCAAGGATTTAATTTTGATGATCACAAATTATTAATTATTAATTAAATAATTGATTAATAATTGATGATTAACAGCATTTGATTTTGGGTAATTGACAGAAAGTACAGAATGGTAAGATGCGTTATCCATTACAATAACGCAAGGTTCCTCTAAATTGTTTAACATATCAATAAACCATTTCTTAAATAAAGTGGCGTTCATTTGTGTGGTAATCTGGGTGTGTAGGACTTGATTTACAGCGTAATATTAATTTAGAATTATTTACAAAACCAAATTTACTTGAACCGGCATGACAAATAAGCAATCGACCTCCTTTTCCAGTCGGCACCTTTAATCCTTCAGTATTTTGAGCATTTTGCCAAATTTGGCCACGTGAATGATTTTGGTATACTGCTTTGTTATACTATACACACCGTCGTACAGCTATTTTTTTTTTTACTTAGCTCGCGCCACGACCGTGGCGCTGGATAATCAGTACTGTATATTATAACGACGACCAGTTTTGCGACGGCAGCCACAATAGAGCGCTGTAGTCGCTGACGGCAAAGGTGGTGTTCCATGTCTTAGTATGAATAACGGGAAGTGGTTACATCGTCAAGGTCCGCTCAAACCGAAGCGGTAGCGGTGGCGGTAGCGGCAGCGAAATTTAATACCCATACGTTTTAATATGAACGCACTCACTATCGCGAAATTAATACCGCGGCGAAAATGTTACCGCAAGATTGAACGCGATATTTTTTTTTTTCGCTGCAGACACTATATTTTTCGCTTACCGCTGCGATAATCAGTTGTAAATTCCCAACTATGAGTTATTAATATATTAATATCTATAAAAATTTTATCGTTACATTGCATGATATATTTTGACTTTATATTCAAACACATTGCAGTTGAATCTAACTAACGTCGTGGTGTTTGAATGTATGAACGATTTTCTTGTTTAAAATTTATAATTTATAATAAAAATGACCCATAAAGTTGAACAGTTAATAGCTATTGTTAAAGAATATCCCATCATATATAATATGACACTTCTAGAATTCAAGGATACGAGAAAAAAGATTATATTTGGGATCACGAAATAAGTGTTAAAATGAACGGTGAAAGCGGTAAGTAAACATATAATTAATCTATAAAAATACAAGTCATTATGATAATAGTTATAAATATTAGTTATGATAAAAAATAATAATAATTAATGTTATTAATAAAAGTCAGTTTTGAATTTTATTATTTACTATCAGTTTTCAAACATATGCAATTAAGTAACAATTCTAATATAAAATAGGTAAAAATAAAAATAAATAAGCAACTAGCTATTTTATCTAAACATAATAAAATTTTACGGTACCTACCTAGTATTTATACTTGTCAATTTTTATACATATTAAATTTGAAATAAAAACTTAAAAATAATAAATAATAAGTAAATCATTATTTATTCATCATTAAAATACTCAACAAAACATTCTCGCACTCGAAAAGCTTCAATTGTACATCTTCTAGGATTATTTTCAATTTTATTCCGTAGTAAAAACGGTTCTTCATCGGCTTCGAGCTCATTGTCGTATATATTACAATTTTGGACTCTCAAATAATTATGTAGTATACATGTTGCCATAATAACTTTTTTTATAGTTGTTTCTTGCATTTCCATTGGCCTCTCAAATACCCTCCATTTCTTCGCTAAAATTCC